TCTGATCAAGATCGAAGAAAAGAATATTGTATTGAATGAACAAATGCCTATACTTTAAAAAGTAAAAAGTGGCCATCTCGTAATCATGTTTCCCAGAAATCCAATTGCTATAGATTTGATTATAGTTATGAAGAAAATGTTTCTTGAAAAGATTTGCAAATATTTCTCTATGATCTTGGTAAAGATGTTGCATAAAAATATTTCTTCCCATTAAAAATACTTGGATAACTCCAATCACAAAACTCGCAATGAATTCCAGAGGGTGATAGAATACAATGTTTGAATAATGACATCTTAAGTTACATAAAGAAAAATTTATTCGGTCTTCGACTGAATAGATTAGTTAACTATTTTCTATCCTCATCTTCTTTGCAATACATTTAATTGTACCTATATTAAATATGACATCTTCAACAACAATTTGCAGCTTTTTATTAACTACCGTTTGTTTATCTTGTGAAATTCTTTTTAATATCGTTGATGACGTCAAAATCGGAATTTTGCTACAAGTTACAGTTGATGAAATTTGCAGAACCAATTGGGCTTGGGTGGTTGGTGCAGTGTAATTAATTCTGGACATCATAGAATTAATTCTGGGCGTCGTGGAATTAATTCTGGGCGTCGTAGAATTAATTCTGGGCATCATGGAATTAATTCTGGGCATCATGGAATTAATTCTGGGTGTCGTGGAATTAATTCTGGGCATCGCAGAATCTGTGGTTGCCGCAGTGAAATGAGATGCAGAGTTATATATTTCCCAAATATCATGGTGTTTAAACCTAATATGCTTCTTAATGGTATCTGTTAAATATGGTTTAACATATTTTTTTGCACATATTTTGCATTGGATATGTGAATCATTAATAAATTCAAATTGTTCTAATGCAAAATCCTGTCTCGATTTTTTATACCGCATCGAACTAAAAAAAACAAATTACACAGTTAAAAATCCATTCGGTCAAAGTAGACTGAATGAAGAATACAATATTAAAAAAAAATAAAATTACTTGCTATCTAAGTGATTTGTTATCCGATAAGCTGTCACTATCTGTCTTTTTTTTCTTTTCAATATGTTCCTCCACAACGGTTTCTTTTTTTCTTTTGGCAGTTATGGCCCTAGCACGGGAATGAAACTTGATATTAATAGCCTCAACAATCTCCTTGCGCCTCTCAAAGAGAGATAGTGTAAGGTTGGTTAGCTTGGCAAACTCGGCAACATCATAAGGTTGCTACTCACTGTTATTCATAGGCTCAATACGCTTAGGAATCTGATCACCAATAAAAGAAAAATAAATAGCGCAATTGTAAAAACACTCCTTTCCATCAGGGAACTCGCAAAAGCCCGAAACCTTAGTAATATAAAAAAGTTCATTGATAATGACCCTGGCCTCCTCTTCAGCTTCACGTTTTGCACAATCAATAAATGATTCACCAAATTCCACCCGCCCTCCAGTTACTTGCCACAAAAGATGATGATCTTTAAGAGGATTGATGCGTTGGGATAACCAAATATTCTTCGAATCGGAAACCAATATGGTAAGGCTGAAATTACGCTCACTGGCTTTATACGCATCAAGCTTTTGACAATCTTTATCCTTCAAATTCTTAGTTACATTTAATACGGAAATAACCTCTAGAGTAGGTTGATCTACGGTAATTCTATCTTCTTTCATAGAATTGAGACTGTTGAGATACGTAGTGTACTTCT